GAAGGTATGATCCTTTGTCATCCTGTTTGGCTCATAATAAATTGTTCAATTTTAAACTAGATATTGAATTTTCCTGCTTCTATCTACTTAGATGTTCTAGGCAATTTACAAAATTTCACAAAGTACGTAATTGAACCTTGTAAAGGCATGAAATATACTTTATGCAATTAATAACCACGGGAAACAAAATATTTGCAATATTATTGGCTAACTTTTCATTGTTGTTATAAAAATTACTTTAACGTATTCGTCACACCACCAGAAACCGATGATCTGAACTTTATCAATAGCTGGAGTGATCGTGGTTCAATGATCTCAATAGAAAAGTATATCTTTAATTTATTTTCAATTTTATTTTGTTATCATTTCCGATTTCCGTTTACTCTGCGGATATTAATCTTTTTATTACAAAGGAATTTGACATAAGTGTCAGATACGGCAATCGCAACAGATGAAGATTGCGATCGTATTAATAAAGTTAACCAAATATATTCAACAAAAAAAATTAATTTTTTCGCTGAACGATTTATTCTAGCATAGCAATGTCTTCATTTCAACGAATTTGAAATTCTAACTTTTAGAGATCTATTTGATAAAAATAGGAGACAGTTGGCGGCTAATATTTTATGATTTGTTTGTGTATATCATTTACCAGTAATAATTGCCGGTGGTTAGAATAAGTTTGCCAACTTGTTCTCGCAACTTTATCCTTGAATAATGGTGTGTGCTTGTGCCTATAAAATATTAATGTTTCAGACAAATATTGTTGTTCACTCTGACGCATTACATTGTTTAGAGTTTTTTCAAGTTTAGTAGTTGAAAATAAATAAATTTAATAAACAAAACATGTTTCTTTTTATTGTTATCACGTTCTTTTGAAACAACAAGCAAGAATTTAGTATTACGAGGCTTCTACTGAGGTTTGGCAATTAGTAATTTGTTAAATAAAAGCAAAAAACCTTAGAATAATGATTACTTATGATCAATTGTTACTTCCATGTAGCAATAGTTTATAATGATTTATTAGACTTATCAATCTTCTATATTCTATATGTATAGTTAGGTACAAATTTGTACAATAATTCTTTTACTAGAAAGTAAAAGTGAAACATGGTCATTATGTAAGTGATAAAGATATATATATATATATATATATATATATATATATATATTTCTTACATTTATATCTGTATTGTAAATTTTCCACTTTACATCAATTAAATAATTACTTCGTTTTGACATTTTAAACATTTATTCTATAGCACGTTTATTTTTTTTTTAGCAATATTCTTATTTCTTTCATTTATTATTAAAGAAAATATCCTATTACATTACAAATATGATTTACGTATCAATGGTTCAAAGTACATATGTGCCACCTAAATTAATTAATTCTCTTAGCACAGTTACACTGTGTACTATTGCAATGCTCACATATAATTATTATAGGTAAAAGCATCATGTTCCATAAAACATAATAGAAAGTATATGCTTAAGGGAGGGCTTATTTTATAATTATTTCCCATATTTTATTGTACTTTCCCAGAAAGAATACATTTTTAACATATTATTTAACTAAGAATTGGAAATATTAGTACAAATTACAGATATCTCGAATATCAATGTCAAGGCAATACAAAACATGATTTTGTAGTCCCATATGTATCACTCGTTGGAAGACCAAATTTTATCGCTAACATGGGAAAAAAAGTAATATGTCATGTATCATATTACAAATATACGGTGTTTAGCCTCTAAAGGCCGAAACTCTTATGAAGTAGTCTTTTCAAGATTAAAAACAATTTGACTTATTTCTAGTTTGTCAAAGCAATCCCATTGTTCTTCTTTTTAGTTTTTGCTGGGCATTGCTTTAGCTTCCTAATATGTCTCGAAAGAGAAAGATTCCATTTGGTTACTTATAGACCTTTGAATTTTTAATATGTAAGGAACGACATTATATATTGAGCATCATTTACCTATACTAGATATGCTACAATGCGAAGTTCAAAATACTGCAGAAAGAATACTTGCATAAAATGATGGGACAAAGAGCATTAAATAATATGAAATAACACCTACTATATAGGATCAAGTAACACTTCCGTTTCTATAAACTGTTCAACATTTTATGTATAAAAGATATTTTAATTAAATTTTAGAGGTAAAAATGTATATATTCAAAAGTTTAATCTGTGGTGTATAGTATGTATATATGTATTGTTTCATATGCAGAATATTTTTGAGCTTTGCACGTATATTCGTTTAACAATGAATATTATTATTAATTTAATAGGAATGTTATGGCATACATGTATTCAAACAAATGTATACTAATAAAAAAGATAGCATTTAAAACACTACTATGTCACTGGAATTGTAATAAATATTTGTGTGTAAATTATTATTAGTAAATGAAGATTGGAAAACCTTAAACAAGTGTAAATTATTTTAACACAGAGTAAATGGCACTCTAATATAACAAGTTGAATTCGATTCTTCAAAAAATAAGAAATTTAATAACATATATGTATATAGATAAAAATTGTGAAAATGCGTATTTGTTATTGATTTTAAACATTTTTAATAATTCGCCAAACAAATAAAATTATTACTCGTTAAATATAGGACGCGAGGATGTTATACTTGAAAGATTGAGTTGAATTCTTGTATGAAATGCAATGATTCATCGAATTCTGGAATTCATCGAAAAAGAAAAACTCTTTCACAGCATGATTCTGTAATAACTTACTTACTTGCTATGTTTCAGCTTCATTTTCTCCAGATAAAGGTTTATCTGTAAAATAATCATCTAGAAAGAGTAGAGTCGATTGATATTTAGTAACATTGGAGAATGATAAAATTATGATGGCGTTTATATTTTGTATTTGTTCATGTTTATTGTAACTGCCCCATTACTTCCAGAATAAGTAATTACTGCTTTCTGACCTTTTCGAATATGAGAAATCATGCTGCGATGAGAATTTTTTCCTAATGATTTTCAAAAATTGAACAATTCTTCAACACAGAGATTTCAATCAGTTTCAAAATTGTAATTCTATTTAGACCATTATTACTTAATCCTTGTATGTGTCCATGCCAGGAAAAATAGATTACAACTATCCCAGCAAAAAATATATGTCATTCGTATTTGTTGGTAGGACAGATACAATTATATCCAGTTTTTACTCATAGCTCAATTAAATTAATGATAGTTCTCGTTTAGTATTCCATTAAACGAGAGATGGTCACGTATCTCGTTCCTTAGACTTGGAAGTCTTGTTTAAAAATTCCAGTATATAAATGGTATCCATAGGAACACCTCAATAATATAATGCAGAACTTTGTAATCAAAATTACAATTCTAAACCGAACCTTTTAAGTATGGTGTCAATCTCTAATGGTTACCAAGCTATATATAGTTATAATATAAAATTCATTCCACGGAATGTAGTACTTTCTTACTTGACATTTTACGAATTAAAACATTAAATTACACAATCTATTAATTTACAGGCCGATATAGGATACTTCGCATATGAAAATACTAAAATGCTTTTGTCTTGTGATTATCAAAAATATTAAAAGATGCGAGGTTATTATTGCAGTAAGTGGAATGTTAATACCTTATAAATTATATCATATTTTTATAGTGAAACGTAAATACGTCTAAGTTTTGCACCAAATTATCGAGACATCCCTTGTATAATATATAGTATTTAACAATGATCCAAATGGTGATGATTGAATGGCAAAGTGTAAGTATTCTTTTTTTTTCGAAATTGTTTCTCGTCACTAGAAAGTTAATTAATAGATAAAACGTCGACGAGATAATATTTTTACAAATGTTTCGTACACACATCGAAATTATTTTCTTTTATACTAGTATCATAATATTGTACGGTATAAATATTTGCTTACGTCTATTTCGATGATATATTGTTACTGTATGCTTTTGTCCTTCTGCACAAGGTAAGACAGAAAATAAAATGTACTCGAAAATCTGATAGAAGTGTTTTTCCTTTCCTGCTGTTAAAACTAAAACAATAATAAAGAATGCTGATTGGGCTTGGTTACTGCAACTATCTACCATTACAATATTATACCTGTAACATTAGCACCATATCTGAATCGCTTTGTCGGTGAGTTGCACAATCAGAGCTTAATGCAATTAAATTTGCTACTTATGCATCAAAATATATCTAGTTGCATTTCTAAAATTACGCCTTATGCGTAGTTTTATGAATTAAGATCAAGCATAATTGAAAGTTACTGTTAGTTGACAAATATTGCGTTTTGTATAACACAGTTGTTTTTTTCTTTAGAAGAGTGTATAAAAATTAAGATATAATTTATTTATAGAACATAATCATACAATATGTGTGTTCGGAAAATAAATTTGTTAACGCATTATAAAAAAACAGTTTATTTCTGCTCATATGATCATAAAAATATTTAACCAACAATTTCAACGAAACTTTAAATGGACATCCTAAAAGTCTATATTACATGCAAAACACTTGAAATTAACAATAGATAAGACAATGCACTGAAGTACTATCTAAGTATCTTTAAAAAGCTTTAGGATTTAATGAGTCTTATATGGCATAAGTGTTCCAAATATTATTATTTTAACAAGTATACCTCGAAGTAAAATTGTTAAAATAATTATACTGTGTAAGATATAGAATTACACTTCATACAAGAATTACACTTTCTGTTTAAATTATAATTACTAATTTATTGTCCGAACATACTGCATATTGTGTACTCAAAAATAGGACATTTAGACTTTTCAAATAAACTATAGATGCAACAGATTCTCTTCATTAAATCAACAGTGTGTAGGTAAATGAACTTGAAATACTGTTTCGTATTTCCATTGCCGTTAAGTAACAATAAACGCGTTCCAATATTCAATTCTCATTAATGACGAATAATTGAAAAAAAAAAAATACAAAAAAAAAAACAAATCACTATACGATACATTTTCCTAAACTGCATTTGCTCAGATCCGATGTTACCGAATACCATGAAGCTGTTCAAAGTTTAACGCATATAATTAACATACTCTGTACAGACTTCTTATGCTGCTGCGAAAACATCATTGATTTGACGCTTTTTGCCGTTGAGTATAAAACACGAATACTTACGTACTTTCTAATTCTTTTGTACGATTACAGATATTTGCGGTCCTTAGCACTGACGTACACTCGATATCAGAAACAGAAAGTGACGCTGTAACAATAACCGAGGTTAGAGTAAAGGTGTTTCGGTTTCGTTCGAGCTTCGGGGACGCGGTGATTCAGAGATTTAGGGAACATATAGTGCAAGTCTGAGCGATACAATGCGCATGAAGGTGCGACTGATGCGTCGTGGACGTTGGCGGAGGTGGCGGCGGCGGTGGAGGTGGTGGCATGTACAGCCACCCGGCACCGGTTCGCCAAACGGTACCTGGTGCAGAGGGGACCGGATGCAGCGGATTGGAATTATTTCCGGTGGTTACATGCGATGTCGGTCCACCCTCTACTCACATTACCTGAAAACAAATGAACCTGGTAAGTCTAACAACCAGACTGGTCTTTTAAAATTACGGGAAACATCAGGTCGAGTCATGTACAATTTCTGTCACAGAAAGTTGAAAATAGATAAAGAGTAATTGGATAACTATGACAATGAAAATATTTAACTCGTTGCACTCGATTGTTCCCTCTGAAGCTACAAAATGTATGTGGAATTAAAAAATTCCAAGGGCAAAGGGTTAAATAAATTAACAATGCTTAAGAATGTATAATATATTAAGATTAATTGTAAAGTGTTATTGCAACGATATAAATTTAAAAGAGCCAGAACGAATTTATTTATGACTCAAACTAATGTATTAGAGATAAATTGGTTCAATATTAGAACACATGTACATTATCGGTTATAAGTACTTGCCCTCTCATTGAAGAAATGTTTACTTGACTTTATTTTATATATTTCACTTTGGGAACTTATTATAATAAATGGTTCCAAATTTAGCTTGCTTTATGACCATTGGGGAAAACTAGTTTTCGCTTGAAAATTTATCACATGTTTTGGTCAAGCGAACCTTATATGGATGGGTAAGTACTTATGAGTGGTAATGTGTACGATCGAACGATCGAAGAGTGTGTTTCACCTGCAAGATCTGACTGGCTTCAAAAGCAGTCCCAGGTAGTAATATCACCGGGCTACTGACGTGTCCGCTTTCCACGCATATCATGTTTGGAAATTCATCGTCACCGAAATCGGGTATATCCCGGGCCTTCTCTTGCCAAGGATTCCACACCACCGTGTCTGGGAAATTGTACTTCTGCACTCGCATTTTCCTACCGGACACAACGTTGGTGATAATGTGTTCCGGTTGCGTGTTCTGGTAAATTCTGTCCGTCCATTCGCAGACTGTCACTACGTCGCGACCCTCTTGAAAGATTTGGTTGTCCCTCGTCTGTGAGGGAAACGAAGGATTCTGATATAAGAACAGCTTATGAATGAACATATAAACGGTGTTCATTAGTTAGAAAAAATATTCATGGTTGTGCAACACATGAGTAGATTTCTCATGAGTAGATCGCGAATGCCTATGTATTTATACAATAGTATTCCTTAATTTGCAAAACGCATTAAAATAAAGGTTACGGTGTAGTTTAATATTGTTTATTTGACACACATTTCGTTTAACTTCAAATGAAATATTATTTTGTTCTTATTAATATTAAATCTTTAGAGGAAGAGAATTAGAGCTTACAGTGAACATGAAATTCTTTCTTTGTTTGGTAAATCATTAACAAATAAGTAAAGTAAGTATCATTAACAGTCGTGAAAATAATAATCAAACTCTCGATTGAAAGAAAAAAGGCACCGGATTAAAAATATACAAATATTGTTGAAAATCGAATGTTGGTAATTTAACTTGGTCTGTGACCTACAGTTCCTAAACGAAATGGCGACAGCGAACGTGTTTATTATCCATCTTTTATTCTCAATGCCCAATTCAACGATACTTAATCTGTCAACCGGGGAAAACGACTTAACTTGTTATTCGTTCTTCACAACAATTCGTATAATTTTATGTAACGAATATCAAAGCAGAAACTCAATTATGCATCGTATAAGTAATTTATGAGAAATATTTTTCTGCAGCAATCGTCATCCCCGAAAAGTGTCTTCCATAATAAACGTTTAGATCTGTAGTACTCGAAAGTCAACGGATTAACCCTTTCGATACGTCGAAATATGCGAAACGTATCACACGATACCGCTGTACGAACTTGCATGCGTACATTCGACCAATACATGAGTACTGAGATTTGAAAAGTAACCCAAACGACGGATTAAATTTCTTGGAAAAATAAAACTGTAAAAGATCATGTGAATTGTGTGTACCTTGTCGATAAAAGTGCATCCGTGAAGGCCCGTGATCTGACACCTCCTAACGTCCGGCACTTTAAAGTAGGTGTGTAACAGCAAATTGAAGCTAAACGTGTGATCCTTGCTGGGATTGTACACGCCGATATTGAAATGCAGCTCCTTTTCTCGAAGGATTAGTCGGTACGTTAACCTAAAGGGGTAATTCCACATTGAGCGGGTGAATTCGCTATCCATTATAGAGAATATTGCCTCAACGTCACCGCTGGGTAACCGTTCGGGTGACTTTTCCACGTTCCAACGGATGATTCTTGCGAATCCGTGGGGCGGCCCGAATGTCCATGCTCCGAATTGCGCTGAGTTCAGGGGAAAAAATCACTGATTAGTAATATTTCGAACTTCCATGATTGTACGCTTACCGACATCAATTAAGGGACAAAACGATTAATCAGGGACTATGTAATATATCGAACTGAAATATAAATAACTTCTACCATGGACACTAAAATGTTACTGAATTATAATTAAATACAAATAATAATATAAATGTTGAAATTCGGTAACAATTATTTGGGCATGTGAAATTAATTAGTGTTAACATTATGAAGACCGATGACGCCACGGTGGCGTCATTTGAGGGCCTATTGTTAGTGGGCGATGACACGACACTAGCGTCATGCGAGTGCCTAGTGGTACTTTTCAGATATTCTAAGTTATTTAATTTTTTTTACATGTACAGCAAACATTATATTTTGTTAATTTTTGACAAAAACAACTGGCGACTGGTGAAAGTTATACGTAACACTAGCCGGTTGTCATAGCGTTAATTGTAATGTGTCTTAAACAGATATTTATTTGAAACGGGTTTACTGAATTTACTTATGACTCAATTTAATATATTATCTTCTATCACCTGCCTGTGGTAAAGGTTTCGATAAAATCTAAAAGATAAACACTATCTACTGTGAAAAACAATAAAAAGATATGAGAAATCGATATTCATGAATTATGTGTAAATATGAGTAACAGATATGATCGTAAAAAGTGTTTTGTTTCTTAATTTTTGTCGATAAGTATACGTATATGTAGGTAGAAAAAAAAGTCGAATTAAAAAGAAATTGGATATTCGCAGTAAAGTGAATCGTGTAAGTTTCTCTATAAATAAGAGATAGGTGCATATGAAACTATTGTTAGCAATGTTAACATAATGTTTGTCCACTTATAAAATGTTTATTAATATTTACAGAGTTTTTACGGTGGTCGAGATAAATGAAATTTTTTGTAATCGAAGTCATCTTGGTGAAATTGATACAATTAATGGTAAAATTTTCTCGATTAAACTTGCTCATTGAATACGGCAGGTTCATATGCATTGACCGAACAGATTCACAACAAAAATGATCAATGAACTAATTACAAGTTGCGTTAAGCATGCTAAACTATTGTCTTTAAATTCTTGACGAGATTATTGTAACAACCCGGTCTGTTTAGTATCGTATACTTACGGAAGACAAATGGTATGCCCCCTCTAATAGCTTTCTTTCCGTCGAACACAGCTTGCTTACTGAAACGCAGACAGGATTGATCGTTTAAATATAAGAGGAAACGGAATAAAATATTCTAATATTTAACACACAAAGTTTTCTTCGGTGGCTTTGATCACGTATAACGGTGATTCTACGTGACTCTAATAACTAGACTGCAGATTTTATGCGTCTGTAATCCATGTGATTTTGCAGAATACAAAGCAAAAACCTTAACGACGAGTTGATAAATTTATAATTTATTTTTGATAATAAAAAATTCGCAGTACAAATTCATTTTTGTTGAATCCTCGTTTTCATAAAAGAATCTAGAAAAGTTTGAAAATCAAAATGTAAATAAAAATTAAGCCTGGTAGTCTAGTATTGAATATAAAAATTGCACTAACATTTCATTGATTCTCGGACAGTCGTGCTTACGTCTATTTTGATCCAGATTTTCAAGGATTTCGCTGAACTATGAATAAAACGAACTATCAGAATTGAAATATAAATTCTTTCCAAGAAATCAGATCGTCCACTGACAGAAAAGTAACCGAGTAAAGATGAAGAATCGTTCTTTCTCCTGAATGTGCAAATGCTCCGGCGTCACTTTTGCATTTTCGCGAAGATTATTGTATCCAGAATTGTTCTCAGCTATTATGGCGTTCTTGGACACCATCTTTCGGAATTTATACTGCTGTTTGTAAGATTTTTGTGTCGTAAGATCACAAAGCATTTCTGTAACGGTCTGTAATTAAAAACTTTCTTAATTCTTTTATTTACATTTATTTTTTGTCTTTCGGCACCTAGTATTTTGCTTTTCTAATACTCTTTCTTCTCGTTCAATTGTTCTTATGTGCCTCATCATTCTTTCTTTGCATTTTCTCGTTTAGTTTCCTAATGCTTTTACGTTTCTTCTCTTTGTCTTGCTCTTTCTCATCTTTTTCAACATCTACTTCCCGTTTTCTTTTACTTTCCTCATGTATGTGCAAAGAGAAGTATACAGTCCGAGGGCGGATGCGCCGGTAACCATTAGTCAATGTTGTCAGGCGCTGCGAAGATGTCTCTCAGATCGAGTACCGGCATGAGACCATGTTTACGCGGACGCACGAAATTAAAATTGGCATTTAATCGTGTTATTGAAAATATGTCGGATTAAAGCTTTCACGATTTATCGGCCAAGAGCCATACGGCGATTTTGATAAAACTTTAATACCAAGTAATCGTTGAAAGATGTTTGAGACGTATTTTTTATCCCAAGAATGATATCGCCCAAATCTAGGGGTTGAAAACAGTCGTTACCCTTGCTTTGAAATGAGGGTTTTCAACTTCCTGATCATTAGACTGCGGAAGTTTATGCAAATTCACAATTTCAGATAGCAGTATGTCAATATTAACATGAAAAATAATTTCGAATTTTACACTAGACGCTTTGTTACGTTAACAATAACACACAAATACTATTCAACCTCGTTAAAATCTTCATTTTCGTAATGCATAAACATCCGCAGTCTACTAATCATTCACTTTTTTTATCGATTTACAAGCTCGATTCAATCCCGTTTAACGATTTTAACCCTTTGCCATACGATTTGTTGTACGACTTCATTCTTAAGAATTACTTTATCGTTAATATTTTCCCAGACACAAAAGGAATCCCATTCTAATGTCAAATGTTACATTTAATAATTAATACCAGCGAAACAGTATTTCACGACGAGTCAAAGAAAACTAATGATATATACGTCTACTAAATTCATTTTGAAATCGTTATCACGTGTCTGACTCGATGTTGTAAGGCAAGGGGATAAGGTCGTTGAAACGAAACACGCTGGGAAACGGTAATTTATCATGCAACAACCTGATACATACAATATGATCGAATATCAAGGACCTCGAGGATGCAACAAAGTGAAGTAACGCGATCGATTGAAATCGTAAGCGAATGGGGTTAATGATCCGGACCTTGAGACTCCCGAGACGTGTTCGTTATCAATGCGTCGCGCAGGATATCGTCGTATCCTTCGAGTCAACAATGTAATCTATTTTCCTGGATGCGTAAACTGTAGAAGGCGGAGGTAATCCCATCCGTTTGCACGATCTTTCGAGGCGAATGGAATATACGAAGCTGTGCGAGAGATAAAGAGAAAGACTGATGAGGAGCGAAGAAGGGAATAGGGAGGAAGAGGGACAGATGAGGAGCAAGGGTGGGAGAGACAGATGAAGAGAAAGAAAGAGCGAGAGAGAGGGATAAAGTCAGATGAGGAGGAAGGGAGGAAAGGGAAGAAGAGATGGAGCGATGTACCACCACGAAGTACAACGCGGTGGTAGGAACGCGGCTGACGCCAAGCAAAAACGATCGGCGCTGTCTGCCGTGCTTTTTGCGGGCATCACAGTTTCCAACCTCTCCTCCTGGTCGTTTCTAGCCGCTGTTATCCCCGGTTGCTACTGCTGCTCCGCTGCTACTCGTGAACGGCACCCAATTCCCAACGCGGTTACGCCTTGGTATGCTGCAGAATACCCTCTCTGCTGCGAGTAAATCAAGAAAATCTTGACGAAAAATTATAGGGAAGCCGGGTAATAAGTACTTGTCGCATATGGTATCGACAATAAACGATGGAAAGGAATATTTACGGGGGAAAGGGGTTGCAGCTCCGAAAATGTCCACCCTCCGATTTTCGCGAAACTTGGTAAAATCGTTTCAAATACTCCGAGATGAACGTATGTAAAAGGGTTTTTGACGGAATCGAAACTTAACTGAGATAACGGTAAAGTAGTGGGATGATTATGCATTGTCAGAACAGATATGTTAATATTATGATAAGACATAAAGCGTGTTTTGTATTGCATTGTGTGGGCGGGTTATATATACGATAATTGGTTTGGAATAGTTTTTGAAAAAATGATTGCAGTACCAAAAGAGGTTGTACGTTATGACTTCGGCTGCAAGGTAAGCGAGTCGTTCTACGTGCAACGACACTGTGTGTGTATAGTTTTTATTTCAGCGTTATCTCAGTTAATTGTCGATTGCAAAAATATTCTAGTTGGAAGACAGTTAGATTGATACGAAACATGTAAGAGTAACACCGTACCATAGTTGAAGTTTACAGCAAGTAGAACCAGTAAGTAATGGACAGACATGTTAGCCAGTCGGTGAATTTTTTAAGTCAACTTTTTCGAAAATGCAGTTTCATATGATAGATATCATTCTGTATTTTCTCGAGTAACTTTCGCCTGAAGAAACACCTAATTCCTGATTGTATGTACCATAATTTCAGATATACCATGCTCGAAATCGCTTCTATCGATTACTTCTTCCGAAGAGCAATAATTCTGTGTAATTTGATTAGATTCAGTTTAATTCTACAATCTCAATTGAGCTTTATATTTTGTGATCACTAGACTGCAGACGTTATGCATTTATACACGTCTCTTAACTTGTAGAAAGTAATAAAATAAATTCTTTAATAAAGTTCAATACTATCTATGTACTATTATTCGCGTAGTAATTCCCCTAGTAGAGAATCTAAATTTCTGGCAAATTTTAATTTTTACGAATTAGTGTTTAAAATAATGAATTCACATATACTTCTACCAGTCTAGTGATTACAGCATGAATCGCAGTAACCTTGTTATGTTCAAACGGGTATTCAGTTTCTACAAACTCAATAAATAACCCTAGTTTCCCTTTTATGAAAGCTGAAATATTTTACTTCGCATAGATTAAACGAGATAATAGTCTTACAAGGGAAGGAAAAACGAGTTCTGAATTTTTCCTATTGTGGTTATCTACTTTTGTTCAATCTGATTGCCTTTTCCGTCATTTTTTCTACACCTTCTGAATTTGCAACCGTCGCTTCATAAACACGACACTTTGCACCGTATATTTTACACGTTGCCTCTAGATCTTTAGAAATAACAACTTGCAAATTATCATCAATTGCACTGGGACGCCTTGTACGCGGTTCATCAGTCATCTGTCGTTTTAAGTTTTCTGAATCACTGTTATACTGTATGTTTGCTCACACAGAAATAGAATTTTATATAAATCTTTTAGACTGTTACACTAGCATTTTCGCCGATTCTGAATTAACTTAGAAATGGAGATTTTCAAGATCGTTTTTGCTCGAAAGATTGATATATTCTAAGATTTTTAAATTAGAACGATGAATTAATGCATTACGAAGTTGCAAAACATGTAGTTGCTATAATACAAAGTATATTTGACTATTAGTATTATGGATACTAGCATCTCGACTTTGTGAACACCGTTTATTCGAACATCGTTAACGAATCATATGATACACTGATTAAAGGAAAATTTTAAGTTCATAATTTTATATACGATATACGTATTAATCATATCGTATTCATTTACAAATATCATTGTCAAAAGACTAATTCTTCTGAAAGAAGTAATTCATTCTCTATGATCAATTCTTATTTATTGGTGAAAAATATGGTGAAGTGACAAGTATATTTACTGTTGCATACAGTTTACGTTGAAATCAAATTATATAATCCAGTAACGTATATATTGCTTTCTAATGAACTAATTCAGACCACTTATCTAGTTCTCAATTTACGTTTTATTAATAACGCATTATATAAAACCACATCTGGGCTCATAAAGTAGGTAGACTAGAACGTTGATTATCGGAAACGTCGACTATTAAAACTTTCCATTATTGGAACACAGAACGAATCACCAATGTTTATTGCAGTGAATTATGCAATGCTTTAATTCACAATACAATACTTCGAATTTGAGGATTTTCACTGTGATACTATTCCGGGGTGGTGAGAAATACGTAAGAATTATCCAGGATATAGAATTATGGATGCAGATAATATTCTTTCGTTTTTTTTTGTTGAAGAAAATACTGACATAGACGAAGAAATGACATAACAATAAAAATAAACTATGGGACACAATATAAGTTCCATATGAAAATAAGAAATAGAAGAAAAAGAAGAAAAAAAATAAGAAGAATATATCATTTTACATCTACATCTTTCGATCTCCTGGAGTAATTACCTG